GAATAAAACTGAAAAATTGAGAGATACGAAATGAGGATCTCTCTATGAGCGACTCGAGTCTCTCGTTCAGAGACGCTGAACAGTTTTTTTGACAGTCTCTCGGCAGTCTTTCTCAGCGACACCAGAGAGATTGGATCGATGAGAGACGGAGACTGGAGTCTCGCTTTTAGAGACTCTGAGAGACTGAACAGTTTTATCTCGGGTATGAGTGAGAATAATATTCGGGTCCCTTGAATTCTCGCTTACCCAAGTTTGACTGTATTTGGTTATCTCTTTTGACGTTGTCTGGACTACTCATGAAAGATTTCTTAACTTAACAAGGGTTTGTTCAAAACGCAAATGACTACAATNTTGAAGCTCCTTAGGGATTACATATGCGTCATCAATAGAGACTCTATAAACTGAAGTTGGCATGTTAAACCCACTTGCAATATATAGAAAAATTGCGGCTTAACCTAACCTAACCTAGCTCAACCTGAAGTAACCCAACCTGGAATATAAGAGACAAAAATAAAATATTTTAATGTTCCTGAGAGTTTAATTGTGCGTCATCAATAGAGACTCTATAAACTGAAGTTGACATTCTAAAGCCCATTTGCAATATGTCGAAAAATGGCTGCTTAACCTAACCTAACCTAATCCAGCTCAACCTGAAGTAACCCAACCTGGAATATAAGAGACAAAAATAAAATATCTTAATGTTCCTGAGAGTTTAATTTTGTGTCATCAATATAGACTCTATAAATTGAAGTTGACATGTTAAACCCTCTTGCAATATATAGAAAAATGGCTGCTTAACCTAACCTAACCTAGTTCAACCTAAAGTAACCCAACCTGGAATAAAATGACAAAATAAAATATTTTAATGCTCCTGAGAGTTTAATTATGGGTCGTCAATTTAGACTCTGTAAACTGAAATTGACATGTTAAACATTCTTGAAATATATAGAAAAATGGGTATGAAACATCCTTAAGCCAAATAAACGCTTTTGAGGGGATGTTGCATTTTATTCGAAAGATTTTGAGTTTTTTTGTATATTTCGTGAACATTTTGTTTACCTACTTATCTACAAATAGTTTTACTCTTTTAATGTGATTTTAAAGTGGTATAAATCAAACGGAAAAATTTTATTTATTTGATAATTCAATTTTGATCGCTTTCAGTCTTATCTGAACTGCCTGCTCTTGAGGTTATCACTACTCTGTATGTGTATAATTTTGGTGTACCATTCCTTCTTTACTTTTTCGGTATATGTCCCACTTTTGTTAATTTGATGACGAACATTGACCTTCCTCCCCCTATTGTACCTTCTGTATACACATCTTTTCCTTATCTTTATCATAATAACTTTTGGCTTCAGCCCAAATTCATTTTTTGACATTCAATTGACAATAATAAGGGGGTAAGCGTAGCAGTTCATGCCCTCGGTACGTGTTATTTGATCTACTGCACATTTTACTTTAATTTTATTGTTTTTAGCAATATAAAAAAGGCCATTTTTAGTGGAACCTTCTTCAAACGATGCGCCTTTTTCTGCTAATCATGTAGCAAAAATAGTCTGCTCTTTCCAAGCCAATAGATTCGCTATTTATCTATTACCATTATTGCGCAAAACTGTTTCAAATTGGATATGAGTTCATCTTCAAAACATAAGTAAAAAGTATATCACCATTTATTTCATTGTAGTTTTAGTTACAAGAAAATGCTAGTCTGTAGTCATTTATGAAACCATATCCTTTGTAATTATATTCTACTATGAAGCGTTTTCCATTGAAATTTGCAGTTTCCTTGTATACTTTCTAACGAATCATCTTACCATGACTTTCTGACACTGCATAAATTCATGGTTCGTCCATGGAAATTACCATTCTAGAGGAAGAGAAGTATCATCATCCCAATCTTTCAACATTCTACTAGTGAAACTATAGCAAGCTTATCCCCCGTTTCCTTATTAATTTGATGGAGAGAAATATGATCCCAAAACCTTGAACAATCGACTTGTACATAAAATCTTATCATAATTAGGAGCATACATAAAAATAATCATAAATCCAGGTATTTTTAACGTTCTGACCGATATGGGATTTTTCCTTTTTAAATCATCTGCATTATCATAAGGTCGTCAGTCTTAAGAGTGGTTGGACACATACGTCTACTCTTTGCTATCCTGAGCTAATTTACGTATTCCTAGATACCTAAAATCAGCCACTTCTTCTAATTTTTCGTCTCCTATCTTTATATTCGCACTTTCCCTACTTTTTTCCCTTGCATACTAGTATTTTAGTTTTACTTTTATTTATTTTCATACAATACTGTTTTGTCAATACCGCTTCCATTTCATTTAAAGCTATCTCTAATTCTTCCTTCCTAAATGCTAGTTCTGCTATATCATCTGCAAATCTAAGCATACTAATCTTTTGTCCCTGTAGTTGTACTGTTTACTTCTCTACATTGCAGCTGCAGCTCTATAACTGCCTGTTGCTCTTTATACAAAGTAAATATCACTCTTCTATCTCTGTAACTCATCCGTACATTTTTAAGTATATTTAATATCTTGTCCCATTCAAAATTGTCAAAAGCTTTCTCTAAATCTACAAATCCTATGTACGCACTGTTTCCTTTTTCTATCGTTTTCTCTATTGTTACTCGTAAAGTTAGAATGACCTCCCGCGTTCCTCTATTTCTTCAAAACCAAAATTGATCTTCCCCTGATAGTTTAAATATTAAGAAAATGTTGTTTCTGGACTCGAAGGATTTTGCACTAATCTTCTATTTAAATGTTGTACATCTACTTTGACCTAAATATAGTCGAAAACGATTTTTTTTATAAGCGAACCAAAAGACTGGCATATTCCGTTTTCGTAGATATATCTTACAAATGATGCCCCAAGTGAATATTTGCCCCAAACGCAATAATTGAAAAATTCGTCGAGTTCGTGGCACCACGCGACACTCGCTCTGAAATACTTAATATAATATCATTCAATCTGATAAAGGTTCCACTCAAAAAATGCATTTTTTAGATAGAGCGGTGTTTTTTTCATTTTTTTTATTGACTGAACCTGAAACAATTGTTCAAACAATTGAATTGCTGATATGTTCAGTTAATTAAGGATATAAAAATTATTTTTATAACTATTTGTATGAGCGAATGAGTCAAATTGAAAAATAAAAAATGATCGTGTCAGCTTGGTTTTTCAATCCTGATAGATGTACTCCTTTATATAATTTTTTAGTGATATGCTTTACATCATACAGTATAACAATTAGCATTCTTGTTTGATTGTTTCTGATTCTATACCTCCACGTGTCTCTCTTTTTTTTCTTTTCCACACGTCTTATCTACTTTACACGTTCTATAGTTACTTTGCATGTAGAAATGCGTTCGTTTTTCGTTCTATTAACATATTTTAAGAAACTACTTCAATATGCATGCGTCAAAAATATGAAAAATGACGAATCCTTCAATGCTGACCATAAGTAACCAGTGGCTATTTCGCGTAGACAATTCGGGAGAGTCTTACTTTTGTCTAAATTTGATTCGTTCTTGAAATCGGAAAAAATCCGTACTTTCGGGGTTGGGGTAAATTAAAAAATCATGTACGGCATCACTCTCGGGGGTTTACCGCCCTCACCTTGATGCTATACTACTTATATTATTCCCTCCTGACTCCGTCCAAATTGTTAAGTACTGATTACCAATAAATTTTCTATACTTATTGTTACTTTTTTTTCAACTTTTTTATGGTAAGTAATTATTTTATTTGACATTAATTGTTAAAAAATACACAACTGGGTTACTAATAACAGATAAACTTTCGTTTACTGATATTAATTAACGGAATCATGAGCGTCGTCGGTTATTTTATATCTAAAAATTAGAGTGCCGATTATCTACATCGTACCTACCAATGTTATAAAAAAAAATATTGTAAACCGTATAATACGCAAAAACAAAAAATTAGACAGTGACAGCGTAGTGCGCAAAAATGCCAAAATTTTTGTGTTGGTGAAATCTGTAAATCTTAAAACGTCATTTTTTCATAGCCAATTCCCATTTTAATAGGCGTTATAATTTAAGCTTTCGGCATAGCACAAAAATGAATGTCACAGAATACCTAAGATTATAAAAGACATCGTAACAATCTTAAAAAACCATAATACCAAAACTGAGAAACAGCAAACAAAAATCTATATTCACTAGATAATATTAAATGTCATAAATGAGATCCTGAGTTATTTAAAGCGTTGCAAAAATATGGAATTAATCTTATGTAGTTAGCTATAGTAAAAAGTTCGGGATACTGACGGTAAACACTCTATGGAAGTAAAGAAGGGAAGTTTTACAATTACTTATAAAATCATAAATGGGTCCTCAAAGTCCTCACGCTATTCTGAATTATATATGTATTTATATAAATCAAATAAGTTATGTGAAACCTTTCCAAAATCACATGCTTAATTTTACGGGTTTCTTCCTAACCAAATCAACATCTGTTGAATTGAAGTTAATGATCATCTTTTTTTATATGGCAAAGGGCGCAAAAGTTCCTTTGCATATGATCGACTCAACTTTTAACCACACAGTCTGTATCACTGCTAAACCTTCCCAATCATCGGAACGTTTTTGTAATGGATCCAAAAATCAAAATCATAATTTTCCACATACTTTGTAATTTGAAGCTTATAATATCATTGTTACTTACAAAATTTGGAGATGAAGTATGAGTAGAAAAATGATTAAAAAAAAAAATTCACAACATTCGTTTTTCTGTTTAAGCTAAAACACTGAAAAAAAAAAATAATTTCGTGAAAAATTAATAGTACACCTTATCCCGACCAATTTAAAAAGATAATTTTAATAAGAAAAATATGACGGGCGGCAAATTTAGGCTTCGCCCCGGATGGCAGACATTCGCGGTACGCCACTGAAATTAGAAGCAACGCGTGCAATAAGATAAGCTGAAAGCAATTAGTATATAAAAGAGACAGATCTGTCGAAGACTTCAGATCATGTTCACGATGTTAAAACTCATTGCTGTATTAGTATTGGCTGGAGCAATACCTAGCTACTCCCAACAGGTAAGAAACATATCCATTTTTCAATTTAAATTTATACTGTTAATGACTCCTTGGGTTTCGTGTTCGAAGACAAATTTAATATCTTGGTTTTAAAAAAATTCGAAATTTCCTGATCGTATTAAATTCCCTGATAATCCCAGGCTTCCCCGGTCTGTAACCACCCTGTAGAAAATCGGATTTAACGACTACGTTAAGCATGTAAATACCTCGGTTATTGAAGAAGCTCATAATCGTTAGTGAAACGTTGGAATATTATAATAATAAATTATTTATTTAATGTAACTGATAATGCTTTTTTTTACTGATTTATTAAATACATAACCCTCCTCCGCAGTTTGTTAAAAAAGAGAAGCTAAACGTACGAAAAAATTAACACTATTACTGAATAGGCAAGAGCCTTTGTTTTGATAAAATTCTGCTAGTAGAGCAGTTATTATAGTGATCAAGTGGGTACAATCTATAATGTAGCAAACACTTAAGTAAAATTGTAGAAAGCAAGGCAAAATTATTAAGAGTGATAAGTTCGATAATTTAAGCTAACCTATCTTAACGCTGCTACGTTTCAAAGTTGCCGCGGGTATGAGAGAATTAATTATTAATAGAAACCGAACAATATTTGTGTTTAACTTGTTTTGTAACGTCATTTTATAGAGCTATCTACACTTAAGAAACAATCGGATCTGTTATTAAATATCACCAATCTTTATTCATGTACTAGAGCATGTTTACGTGTTTACTTATCAATTTTCGAAAATTGTAGCTAGATAGTGGTTGTGACTTAACGCCCACCGAATCGTTAAATTAGTTTACGGTATGAAGGAACCCTAAAACTAACTAGTTACGGATGTGGGTTGTTCTAGTTTTAGGGCATTGCGAAGATTAGCTCAGGATAGGAAAGAGTGTAGGTGCATGTATAACCAGTCTTAACACTAACGACCTTATGATGATGATAATGATGATCCTAAAATGTAGCGTCGTACAACAGATGGCGTTTACCGCGCCATTTGTGGTATTTTATAAAACGCGCTGTTAAGACAGCAGGTAAAAGTTGGTCTGTGTTCTGTCGGAGCTGTCTGCGACGCGCTGATGAGATCCAAAAAGATCGAAATCGCGATCCGCGTCTGGCAGTTTCGACAGAATACAGACCACTTCGAATTATTTTATTCGATTAAGCTAACGTGCCTTTCACGTTGAGGTTGGCTACGCCGGGATTCGTTTTCAGCAAGTAGATATCCACACAAGTGGACCTTGTTGGAGGAAACGTAATCCTAAAATGTAGCATCGTGCTACAGATGGCGTTTACTGCGCCATTTGTACTATTTCTAAAATGTTAGTTCAATTTCTGGATGGTCAATTCCAAAACTAGTCTTCCTACAAATAGTTTTATTTTTAGTCGACACGATATACAGATCCTAAAGTAAGACCTCGTTTGATGTTTATTATGTTCTTATTAACAAAAGAAACGAAAAGAAACGAAATCATTTAAGGATTATGTACGGAACATTTGTTGACTTACGATTAATAACAATTCGGAGAACAACAAGAGAATACCCAATCTTTTTCGTATATTTTACGCGTATTTCTTAATTTTCCAGAATAATTACATAACGACAGGGTTTGGATCACCTGTTTCGTACAAAGATGCATCCTTAACAGTTGGTCGTCGTGGTCCATTACTAATGGAAGACACTGAATTTATCGATGAAATGGCACACTTTGACCGAGAACGAATACCGGAAAGAGTAGTACATGCCAAAGGCGGAGGTGCGTTTGGTTACTTTAACGTCACCAATGATATCACTCGGTACTGTGCAGCCGCCCTTTTCTCACAAGTTGGAAAGAGAACGAAAATCGCGGTTCGGTTTTCCACAATTGGAGGCGAAAGAGGCTCAGCCGACACCCGACGAGATCCACGTGGTTTTGCCATTAAATTTTACACAGAAGAAGGAAACTGGGACCTTGTAGGAAATACCGTGCCAGTGTTCTTTATTCGAGACCCCATTTTGTTTCCCAGTTTTATTCATACTCAGAAGAGACATCCCGCAACCTTTCTTCACAACGCTGACATGCAATGGGACGCAATCACTTTAAGACCGGAATCAACTCACATGGTACTTTATGTATTCTCCGATAGGGGAACTCCCGATGGATTCAGATATATGCACGGTTACGGTATCAGTACATTCAAACTGGTTAATGCCACCGGTCATCACGTTTTTTGTAAATTCACTTACATGACCAATCAGGGTTTGAGAAACTTGACCAGAGCAAGAGCTCAACAACTCGAAGGCAGCGATCCGGATTATGCTATACGAGATTTGTACCAAGCAATTAGATCTGGAAATTATCCATCATGGACCCTGTACATTCAAGTAATGACAGAGGAGCAAGTAGCGCAAAGTTCTTTTAATCCATTTGATGACACAAAGTTATGGCCTGAAGACAGATATCCTTTTATAGAAGTCGGCCGACTTACACTGAACGAAAATCCTACGAATTATTTCCAACAAATCGAGCAAATCGCCATGTCCCCGTCACGAATGGTGCCTGGAATTAAACCTTCACCAGACAAAATACTACAAGGAAGACTGTTTGCTTATCCGGATACACAAAGATACAGACTGGGACCTAACTTCCTTCAAATTCCAGTCAACTGTCCGCTCCAGGACGTGCATAATTATCAACGAGATGGTCCAATGTCTTACAGCAATCAGGGAGATAGCCCGGTCTATCATCCGAACTCAGTCGATTCGTTGAACGTTAGTCAAAGGGCAACACAATTAAGTCCACCTTATTCGGTTAGTGGTGACGTCTACAAATACGATAGTGGAAACACTGAAGATAATTTTGCTCAACCTAGAGATTTTTATGAAAACAGATTAGATGAAGCAGCCAGGATAAATTTAGTTGATAATTTGGCAGAAGCAATTTCCGCCGCATCGGCTCCCCTTCAAAGGCGGGCACTCAACCTGTTCGGTAACGTTTCTGCAGATTTGAGGTCTCGACTTCAATCAAGAATAACGTCCCAATAATGATTTCATAATTTATTACAACAATCTTCCCTATGTAATCTTGTAACTGCAGTTAAATAATATACAATTTGTAAAATAATTATAACTGGATTTGTAAGACATTTAGTTTTTGGATCTCCATTAATATGTCAAAAAATAAAAATAAAATATAGAGGTACACATCTCACCTTAGTTTGGGGGTCGAGATATATATCCAATGTCTGTACAATATTGAATATGTTTCTTGTTTTTTATATTTAACATAACTATAGAACCGAATTAAATAAAGGCAGAAGCGTCTAATCAAATTTCGCTTCCTTTACCAGAATGTGACCAATTAAGATGAATACAGGAGAGAGAAACAGGGAAAACTAAAGAAATTCATGCAAAGAATTTGATTGAAGTACCTATACGTTTTTTTAATTTCTTTGAAATGTCCTTACTTGTAATTTATGATGGCAAATCAGCTAATCGTAGTACAGTCCCAAGAAGTTAATTTATCATAGCATCAAAGGCAAAAAATTATCAGAAATTTTTTATGTTAGTTGATAAAAATGAGTTACTGGAAATTGATTTAAAGCGTTAATTAGTTCAATGAGCGATTTTTAAAAATAACGTCCACTTAAAATTGTACCACGATATTACATTATTTTGATTACCAATAGATAGATGTCGCCGTTAACAGTAATTCCTTACTGTACATTAAAAAAAATGTGTATTTGTTGAATATACAGTACTGATCATAGACTCATTATTACGAAAAGTTCCGCGATGAGCAGATCTGTATTTGTATTTCAGCTTCGTCCTTTCAATTCGAGGAACATCCTTAAAAAGGAACAGTCATTTCACTTATCCCCCACGACTAGACAAGTAAGCAAGGAACGAATAAAATGGATAGTGTTTAAGCGAATCCTTAACACTGTGGACGTTGTCATTTCCTGGTGCCAAGTCGGTAATGTAGAAAAACAAGTAACCGTCACGGGAACATCCCTCTTTCCATGTAACCTAAACATGCATTAGCTCCTTTTGCGCCTTCGCCGTGTGCGGCCCAAATCATGCCTCTGGTGTTGCGTGTGAGTGTGTACGCGAATGTATATTAACTGTAACACGAGAAGCTTTGGTGGCTCGCATCCGTTGATGGCATCAAGAAGCACAAGAGCAAGCAGTGATATCAACAACAAGGCGACAGGCGGAGGAGAAGGCGATGAAGGAGGGCATATGTGATCGGGGGCCAGGGGTCTCGACATACGACCCGAAAGACATCACTTGTGCAAACAGAATCTTTGCCAACATCTCTCCTCCGTACAACGAATACATGATACACCTGGACGGCTTTTCCGTACAAGAAATGTCACCCAAATTATTCGGATCGTCGCTTATTTTTAACTCAAGCGGAATGTGTGCCCATAATACAAATTTAGTAGCCGCTAATGTCTATAAACTGATATTGAGAAATACATATGGACATCGTCAGTTAACTTTTGCATTACAAGGTAACAGGCATGTAAATTATTGGTATGCAAGGAAGCTGAATGTGGTATTAAAACGTATGCACGAATTGGAAACGAAAAACTACAATAAGAAGTCTTTCGATTTACGACAGAACTCAGGACGGAAAAAAGAGTAGATATTAAAATAAAGAAATAGCGCATCAGTTAATTTAGAATTATGGATAAGATTATCAAAAGTGTATGGCTGGACGAAGGACGATTCCGTAGGGATGTAAAACGTGGATGATGACCGAATGATGAAAATGACGTGGTCAGAAAAAGTCAGAAGTGAAGAAGTATTGGAATAAATAGGAGATCTAAGTCAATAAAGAAAAATTGTGATGGAAAGGTAGGACAACTTTTGGCGATGACACATAAAGGGCTAGTTAGACGTATAAGAAGCAGAAATAGGGGAAAAGAGGAGGAGAAAAAGTCATGGATTGGATATGGAATGTTCTAGTTTTTGGGAAATACGAAGGTTGGCTTAAGCTCAAGATAGGAAGGAACTGAGGTGGGTTTAAACCAACGACTTTGTAGTAATGAATTATATAAAATGGTTATAAACAACGAATAAATAGGTAGGTAAGTGTAATGTATAGGTATATGTCAAAGGGGATCGGAAATCATTCCGAAATTAATACTGAAACTAGATAATACCAAAATATTAATTTCTTTTATGTTTTGCACATTATACCACAAGCTTTTATAATAAGAATGGATGCTATTATAGCTCTATACCTACCTATCTGGTTAAGTTATTGTTGTACTATATAGTAACTACAGTAAAGGAAGTAGATGAGTTCTTGGTCAGTGATTTGGTGAAACCGACCTACGTGGATTACGACTACAAAGTCGTTGGTTTCCATCAGCACGAAGGCAGAACATCGACCAATTTATTTTCGGCGAATAAGTACAGACGGCGCAGCTTGGTGAATATCATCATCATCCGTAGAAATTTGTTACATTGATATATTGTAAGGTCCTTTTCGATAAAAGACATTGACTAAATCACAATTTAATACTTAAAATACTTGCGTTAATCCCAGTGAATCTTAATAATTAGACTGGTATGATTGTAGTAAATCCAAAAAGACGCAAAAGGTAAAATTTAGCAAAGGATTTTATACATGGTGTTGCGCGTTAACGGTTTACGCTAGATAATGATAACGTGGTGATTAGTAGATATTATTTAAATTTAATTTGGTAGACTGAGTAATTGAATCCAATAAACCGCGGTGATTACAGTCTATTTACCTTATATGGAGGTTATAAAGTTATACCTCACTTATTTATGGAAGATACAAGTAAAATGAATTAATGAGACGTAGTATATATTAGAAATATGTATATTACGTATAAAGTATATGTATATCTTTACTGCACTTACCTAACATAATCAATTTTACAATAAGTTTTTCCGTCCCTAACAAAACACGTGCATGATTCGTCCAGGAACCGTTGACATTCCTGACATTTAAGGCAGGCAGCATGCCATTCGAGATCAGGAGCTACCCTAAGGATGTACTGATCGTGAATTTGACCACCACATCCAACGCAGTGACTTAGCCTCCGAGGTTTTTCTGAAAAGAAAAGAGAAAAATTGTTTTTATAAAAGAAAGTTACGCAGTATTTTTTAAAGTTAAAATGGAGAGTTTTATTTTTTGTCAGTGCTCTTCATCTTCAATGTCTACAAATTAATTTAATATTTCGACATTATTGATTTTAAGGTACAATTTAACTTTGGAAGACCAGGCACTAAAATGGTAATCCATATAACATTCCTCTTTATAGACTGGCTGTGGGTTGTAGCAACCTAGCAATCAAAAAGCATTTTGACTTTTATAATAAAGGAAGAAAAATAATTTTGTTAAAAAATATTAACAAAATCACAAGTACCACAGTCGTCTAGTGGAATATTCAGTCTTCATCATTTGTCAGAAAATGAGCGACTGTGGGTTCTTATGGGTCACAAACATGCAACATGTTATAAAAGTTAAGACAGAAGATGTCTAAAAACAATACTTTCAGCAATACAGAAGGGGGAGTCCGTTTGCTCAGTTGTACATCCAATTTTATCCGTAATATTTATCTTGCCCTTTTTAGACTTTTAGTCCATCCTTTCCTTCCATTTGAATTTCCCATTTCATGTTATTCCACAGCTTTCAAAAATGTGTCCGAGCGTTTCTAATGGTGCCAATTTACACAATCCGCATATTTTCTTCCCAGTATCTTCTCAGTTTTCTGTCTAAATCTCGCTATTAAAATTTTCTCATTTTCTTTCTCTTCATTTTATTTGGTTTTCCACCTCATTCCGTACGTTTCTGTTCTTTTCCAGTTTTCATCTGTAATGTTTCATCGCCCATTACCTTTCTACTTAAAAATTTTTTCTTTCCTTTTTCAATCTTTGCCTTTTGATTTACTTTTCTTCAGTTTGAATATAAGATATATTATCCTTAACATTTATACGTTCTTTTAATAGCATATTGTCATCTGAATTTAACACTGTTTCTTGGTACTTTAAAGCTCTTTTTGAATATTTTATGGCCAATTTTTCCGTTTTTATTTCTTCTTGTAATAGGTATTTGGGTGTATTTTTCTTTAATTTTAAAATCACCTTATGTGTTTGCCTTGAATGCTTTCAATTTCTTTTCACTAACGTAATGACAATTATAACAAATATTTCTCTTATTAATTGGTATCAAATATTATCACATATATCAATTTTCTTGATAAACACAAAAATTGATTAAAAAAGTTTATGCGATACACTATGGTTTAATAATTTTATATTCATTCAGCCTTCTTTTCAAGTTCATAAAATGGTAGTAGCCTTTGGCAAGTAACTTTTTTCAGACATTTTGTGGTCAGTTATTTCCACTTTTAAATTCTATTTCGAAATGTTTCGGACATGCCATTTCTGACAGTTTTCCTCTTTGCTCTCTTGTCTGAAAAACAACACGTACTTTCTGTTATGCTTTGGTAAAGATGCTCCTGTTCAGTGTCCGTCTGATTTATGATTTCCGGCAGAGACGGCTCTGTAAAAATTCAAGGTCTAAATGGTAATTAGCAATCTTGACAGCGAACATTTTCCACGGCAACTTTTTGGCCCTGATGATGACATCTAGTATTCATATTTCTTATTTTCATAGAGTACTATTAATAATAGATAATATCAAAACCAAAAACGCAGCTGTTGAGAAAAAATACCAATTTTTATTCCTAAGCAGGAAAAGTGATTGATAATTTTTTTATTGATGTGATGAATCTCACGGCGTAAAGATGGAAATTTTATTTCATTGCAATTGATATGGGTACCATAAACAGTATATTAAAATTAAATATAAAATACTTGATATTATAGCAACTTTCTTCTAAAGCGATACTTCGACTCGGTCAGCGATTTATCGATCAGATCTAATACGATCGAAATATCGATTCAATAGTTTCAATTGATTACTAAACACGTACTGTTCCCATCGTATAGGTTTGTTTAAAGCATTTAATCACATAGATAAAATTGTATTTACTTAAACGTAGAATATCATTAGAGATTGTTAGAGGTGTATGCCTGGAGTACGGCTCTGTACGGATACGAAACATGGACGGTGGGCGCGGCAGAAAAGGAAAGGTTAGAAGCGTTCGAAATGTGGTTAGAAATGAGTAGGAGAACAGAGGGCGTTAAGGAAGTCAATAAGAAATATGCGAAATACGTTGGTTAGACATCTTTTTAAGCAGCATGAACGGCTAGTTAGAGACATATTAGAAGCAGAAGCAGGAGGTATGAGGAGGAGAGGTAGAACTAGATTAAATTAATGTTCACAAATAGTTACAGCTGTGGGATGTTTTAGTTTTAATATTAGCTCTAGATTAGCTCAAAGTAGGAAAGAGTGAAGGTGCATGCCCAACCAGTCTTAGGACTGAAGACCTTATCATGATGATACTGAGAGTTTTAATGTATCTATAGGTTTTGAAGTAGTTGTGCTTAATTAAAAATGTATAGAATTATACAACTTAAAACCTAATTTCGTTTTTAAACCGCATAAAGTGTAACTGACCCGAAATTTCAACAACAAAAGTTATTGTATGAATAAGGATAAGATACCTACACTGAATTCCTGACAGTAGTTAGTATTGACCTATATTCCTACATTCGTATGAAAAAGAATTCCCCTTTGCGCTAGATTCACGCATACCTATCCATCCAAAAAAAAATCAAACGTTACACTATAAACGACAACATTTTGACAAACGGTTTGACCGGCAGACAAAAGGATAGTATTAATAGTGGACCATTAAACTGAAAATAACTCATAACCGTGTACGTGCATCACTACCGTACGTTTATTCCAAAACATTTGGTTTGAGACCTCAAACCAACGTGCATATGAAAATACAAAAGAGCTGTTAAATTTTACTGCACTCACATCACACATGAGCAGGGTTATGGCCTTAGGTATATGATGGCACCCAACTGTTGTTATCCATAACCGCCAACTATTTATGTCCTTCATTTCGAACTGACGCTGTCGTTGTTGTCCTTTAAGTGCAACGCGCCTTTGTAACAGTTAAAAAAGAAGGGTGTAATAAAAAATAGTTAAAATATATGTCGGAAATTACCTATTAGAGAGCATCAGTAACAGAGGCACTTGGCCCTTTTTTATTGTTCATGATTTATTTCAAAAAACGGAGTGGTGGATGTGGATATCAATACCAAAATATTCCTTTTACCGTATTCCTACCGAAAGAACAATGTTTTTCCCTAATAATTTCAACGCAAGAAACTGTATATCGCTTCGGGAAGAAGGTAACGCACTTTTTTCCGTGAGTTTACCGTCTTCGCCTTGGGTTCGAGTGACATTTGTCACCCGGGAGCGTTTCCTCCCTCGGTGCGTAGTACACTATGGCGGCCAATTTCATATTTTATTATTATCCTCTATTGCATTAGTAATCTAGTAACGTAGTAACCTTTTCCAGATGACCTTGCTGAAAATTATGAGTACGTCTAATGCAAACACAAGGAAGTACTGTGGTTACATTTGCTGAACAGAAATCCACCCCAAGTTCTAATTCTAATACTAATTCTTACTGCAAAAGTATTATAGGTAGAGTTAGTTTAGAATCTCGTGGATCTTGTGCTTGAGTTGCACCCGTTATTGATTTCTACCAATTTTCACCGCCACATCGTTCCTGGTGGTATAGCGAGGCACATGGTTACCGCCGGAACCATGTTTTTGTAATGAGCAAGCAGTCTGTTGAGATTTTAAAATACCACTAAAAGGGCATATTCCTTAATTTTTAAAAAAATTGCTGCAGTAGGAATTGCCATATCTTTATAACTGAGCTTCACAACAGGATTAAAATATTATTAAATAACACCAAAGGTTTAAAATGATAAAAAGCCACAGTAAAGTCAATGTTCAAATTTCAGTCAAACCTAATAGATTTGGTTAAGGAAAAACCACTTTTTACTGTTCTAGCACTGTCATAAAAATAATACATCCAAATATTGTTATGAAACATGCAGTAGTGAAATATTTCTTAGGAGAGAGGACCAATAAGTATCCCATAATGTGACTTGTGATGTATCATATAAGCATTTTCCCAGGCTTTTATTGAACTCATGTTGTGGTCGTGGTGGATCAAGTGCTTTCTGTCGTGGGAGAATCTTTAACGTTTACCATTTATCACTGAAGCTAATTTGTAATAAATCACTTTAAAATGGCTGAACTGTATCGTTATAGGAGTTCAGAAAAATATAATAAACCAACAACCAAGTTGTTCTTACATACTATATAGAGGTAGTGTTAATTCGTTCATTTATATTGTAGTTACATCCCCATCAAGACAAGATATATTAACGAAATTGCAAAATGATCTATTTACCCCCATAGAATCCTAGATAAATAGAACATTACCATATGTGTTACCATATAAACTCGATTTCAGTTAAAACGCGATCTCTCTATGATATTTTTGATGTTGGCTTACTGAAGATATGACGATTTTTCGATTTATTGTAATATGAAACCTTTTTACCTTCAATTGTTCATGATATTATGAATAATAAGTAATTGAAATACCATCTCAATAAAATTGAATACATTATTTGAAAAGGTAAAGAAGAATTTTGACGCTAGAATCCGACTGGAACTGGTATAGGTGCAAGCATTAAAAAAAGACGGTACTCATTTTTATTACACTAAATAACATCGCACGTGTAAATAGATAGCTAACTAGCTTAATAGCATTTCGTTCATTTCTTAAAAGTTTTTTTAAGGTTGAAGCATTTACAACATATTAAAGGCGAACATGGCATTTACTGCTCGGTGGCTATTCAAAACACGCTTCGATGATTTACCAATACCTGACAAAAAATAAACGTTAATATTAAGATCACTGAGTAGACTTAAAAAGATTCTCGCCTTGTAAGGTTTGATAAATACGTTCTGAAAAATTGTAATTTTTTTGTCAGGTCTCTCAGTTAGCCGTGGACAAAACAGTCGAAAATTGCACTCTTAAGTTAAAGATTAAAATTCGCCAATTTTGACGTATTCGACTTGGAACTAAACAATTGCAAAAA